AGCGAGGGAGGGAGAGAGGGATGTCACAGACATCTTTTCAGAAAAATCTGTTCTTTAAGATTTTTCTCCTTTCTGAGAAGCTGTGGCCTCAGCAGCAAATGCAAACAATGGTTATCTGCTGCTGTGGAATGTAACAGGTGGATCTGTGATTGGTCTCCTGTGGATGTTTGGATTTACTGACCGCTCACGGCAGAGCTGTTCTTGCTTTCTGCCAGGACACAGACCTTTGCTATTCATTCCTTTTCTATTCTTAACTTAGCTAGCTTCTGAGAACTTTTCCTTCTATTTCTTTTTAGTATAGTTATAATGTCATATATATCATAAATTAATAAATCAAGCCTTCTGAACATAGAATCAATATTCACGTCTCTCTCTTCACCCTGCAACCCTTAAGAGCCCTGTAACAGAGGAATTTGAAAAAGAGGCAAACCATGGGCAGCAGGGTGAGGAGAGAGCTGCCCGGTGTGCCAGCGGTGTCCTGGCACCATGGAGAGCAGGTGGGGAGAGAGCTGCCCGGTGTGCCAGCAGTATCCTGGCACCACAGACAGCAGGGTGGGCAGAGAGCTGCCCGGTGTGCCAGCAGTGTCTGGCACAGCTCAGGCCCAGCAGGGTGAGGAGAGAGCTGCCCTGTGTGCCAGCAGTGTCTGGCACAGCTCAGGCCCAGCAGAGCCCGTGGCGGTGCCGTACTTGCGCAGCGGGGCCAGCTGGCAGCTGCAGTGCCAGGGGTTCCGGGAGATGGTCAGCGTCTCCAGTTTGTCGAAGGGGAAGTTTCGGGGCAGCTGGGTGAGCCGGTTGTTCTCCACGTGCGCGGTTTTCAGCACGGTCACGCCAGCAAACGCATTGTCTGCAAACTGAAGCACAAAGGTTTGTGGTGAGGAACGTGGAGCTGGGGAATGGGCACTCCAAACGTGGGGGCCTCAGTTCCAGACTTTGAGTGTCTGGAACAAGGCACTGGGACATGCTGCCCAGAGAAGTTGTGAATGTGCTGTCCCTGTGAGTGTGCAAGGTCAGGATGGACAGGGCTCGGAGCAACCTGGTGCCCATCTCTGAGGGTTTTGCAAAGGGATGATCTTTAATGCTCCTTCCAACCCAGGCTATTCTGTCATCCTGTGAAGCATGGAGAGAGCAAGAGAAGGAGCTGTGAACAGGGAGCTGGCTTGCTGGATGCTCTGTACCCTTGAGAGGCAGCAGGCTGGTGGGCTCATGGTTGATGGAGTCTCCTACAGGGAGAACTAGATCCCAAATCCATGTGGGATTGTCTTTGCAGCCACATCCCTAAATAAATTGAAATCTGGCAACCTTTTTTTTATTTTTGAGCAATAATTCTCCCTTCTAAATGAAGATATATTCTGGTATATTCCTTTCTAAGGCTGGAAATCCTCCCAAGGCCTGTTGCCTTGCCTGGAGCAACTGAAGGAGGAGTGTTTGTGGCCTCTGAAGGGGCTGTAGACTTTGGCAGTGCCTGGGGGCTCTGAGTGGAAATTTACACTTGGCATTTGAGTGATGTAGAAATACAGGCAGGTTTCCAGCACCTCAGCCTCCTCATTTTTTCTTGTTTCCAGTGGGTTTTTTTGTAAGGGATGCTGTAAAATTTGTGCTTTCTTGGTTGACAGGGAGGCTTTAAAGTAGAGCCTCCCTTAAGAAAGTGTTAAAAAGCAAGAGAGGCTGTAGATCAGACTGTGCAGCTCTCTCCTCTCTTCCCTGAAGCCTCATCCGTGATGTTTTTCAGCCCATGGTTACTCAAGTTGGAAAGTTGTTGAAAGCAAACCCCTCAACAGGAACTTCCATGGCAGTGATGGATTGGGGAGGGGCTCCCTGACAAAGCACAAAGCTCTTCTTGGCTATGACAAACCATTTCTTCCCCCTCTCAAAGTGAGGGGAGAGCTTTCTCTAAAGGTTGGAGGGGACACTGACTAGGTCTTCCCAAAGCCCCAGGACCTGTGCTCCCATTTCTGAAAAGAACCTTGCCCTTCTCATGGACCGTGAGGGTGTGTTCATGCTCTCTGAGCTGAAAAGCTTGACAGAGGGAATGCACTATTTTAAGCCGTGAGCTTTTGTCATCTTCCAAATTAAGCATTGCTGGATGGGATTAGAGTTTAGCTAGGAGACTCCCAGATCCCTGTGGCTGCTAGACAGCCAGCATTGCTGGTCTTCTCCTTCCAAAGCTGAGCTGAGCTCTGGAGGCTGGGCTGTGCTGGTGGTGGAGCTGCTCTGAGGGATGCTGGCACGCCATGGAGGGGCGGGAGGCTGGACAGTGCTGTTACTGTCTCAGCTGCTCATTCCTCTCCCAGCCCCATGAGGAGAGTTCACATCTGCTGCTAACAGCTACAGAGCTGCCTGCCAGACCATGTCTTTGGGAAGAAAAGGGTGATTTTTATCCCTTATTCACATGGAGGATTGCTGCTGTTAAGTTATTTTACACTGAACACACAGACAGGGGTGCCTGTCTCATGTTGAGGTACAAGGAGGGTCCTGGCCTGTGCAACGCAGCCCTGTGGGGTCCAGTGTGGGTCTGTGATGCTGGGGGGAGATGGGAGCTCTGTGCTGGAGCCTGAGCTCCAGCTTTTACTCAGGCTCTTCCTTTTGTTCAGATGTAATTTAGGCTGGAGTAGAATTGTGTGAGTTTACTCTTGATCAGCTCAAAAATCTTGCAGCCACGCAGGGAAGAGCTAAGGACAGCATGTTTGTGAAGGAGAAAGGGCTGCAGTAAAGATGCTGGCAGCACTTAGAGCATTCGGAGGTGATTTCCTGGATCGTGCAGCCTCTGTGATTAGATGTCTCTTAGCAGTGCAAAGTTCACACGTGGGCTGTTTGGGTATGAGACCTTTGAGGATTTGAAGGGAAAATGAGCTGGAAGCTTTCTATTTGCAAGCCCTAAAGCTGCAGAAGCCCCCCCTGTTAGTGCTGATCCCATAAAGTGATGTCCTGTTGGGCTGCTGTGGAGGAAAGGAGGCACTGGCTGCACAAGAGCCTTTTAAGTTCCTATCCACAAGTGGTCGCTGTAAAAAAAAAAGTCCTTTTTGCTGGCTAGAATTGTTAACCACTGCTTCTTGGTCAAACCAAGGATGCTTATTTCCCTGGAACACCCCAAAGTCTAATTTCTTCAACATGTAACTTGGAACTCTGATATCTCTAGCTGGTACAACATTATGCTGCAATATTTGACTGAAAGTGCCTTAGAACTGAGTCTACAGAAGTGCTGTCAGACAACATCTAAGGTCGTGCCTAGCAGAGGCATTCAGGGTTAAAACCATTGCCATTAACCTGGAGAGGTTAATGCTCAGAGTGGACAAGGGCTGAAATGCTGAAGTTATTACTCAGCTGGTTTAAGTAGTGTTGTTCTGCACCTGGACAGACCGTAATTCCAGTTTTTTAGCTTTTTGGAATTCTATCTCCCTTTGAAAACTCTGATTTTATGCATTTCTTGTAGCTTTCATGTGGTCTGCTCATCACTGCGAGACTGAGTTGTGAAGAAATTCTCTTTTTCATCATATCTTCCTGCATGTGGTGGGTGTTGCTTTGCAGTGCAGTCCCAGCCTGGCTCACCTCGACTCTCTTTGGGCTTACTGGCAAAGCATCATCCCAGGCAGAACTGTTCTGTTCTGCCTGCAGCTCCCTCTCTTTCCAGCCATGGAGGATTCACCCAGGACATCAGGCTGCATCAGGATGCGGTGCTGGGTTCTGCAGCACTGCCAGGCTTCTCAAAGTCCTAAAACAAGTGATTCCCTGAGTGTGATACTCCTGCCTGTGGATCCTGCTTTCTCACAGAAAAAGGAGGGGGTTGTTTTGCCCTTCAGGATACCTGAATGTCCCTCCTCCCCTCCAGTGGGAACAGGGCTCCTTTGTGAGATGCTGCGAGAGTTCCTTTTGAGACAGCATCAATAAACAAACCTTTCTTTGTAATGTGTCAGGTTGGGAGGCAGCGGGGAGGTGAAGGTCTGTACCCCTACCTGTCTGCAAGGCAGGGGTAGAAACCAGGACTGTTCACAGCCCCTCCAAGGAACCTCCCTCTCCCAGTCCAGAGCAGGTACCTGGGCTGAGCAAAGGAGGCAGAGCAGCTCAGTTCTGCAAGGTGGAAGTGTCCCACTATGAGGGACCTGCTCACCTCTCATCCCTCACCTTGTGTCTATGAATATGGAAGGTTCCTAATTGTTCTGGAGCATCCCAGATACCTTTCTCAGTGTCCGGTGTCACCTCCAGCTTGGGAGGGAATGCACTGCCTTGCATCCATCCAGAGGGCTTAATCAGCTCCAGATAATTTGGTTTTGCATAAATAACTCAACAGAGGGGTGGGGTGTGCTCTCTCTTCCCGCGCCTGAGCCACGTCAGGGTGCAGTCAGTGCCCTGCTGCCTGCAGAGCCTACAGACCTGCACTTCCCCTCTCCTCTCTAAGGGAGGGTCAGCAAACCAAGGGCTTTGTAAAGGGGAAGAAAAGTGAGCCCCATGATTCTGATCTGCAGCAAGTGGAAGGAGAAGGAACTCACCTTCTTCAGTTTCATGTTGTCCAGGTGGAGTGTCTGCAGGTATCGCCCGAAGGACTGGAAGGCATTGTCAGGGATGACCTCAATAGGGTTGTGAGAAAGTTTCAGTTCCTCCAGCACTCTCAGCTTACTCATTGCATTCACAGGGTAGCTGCTCAGCTGGTTCTTGTCCAGGTGGAGGACAGCAAGGTTTTCTACATCCTCCATGGCCCCAGGTAGGAGGTTGGTGAGGGAGTTGTCGGAGAGGAAGAGCCAGCGCAGATCTTTAGCCCCATTGAAGACCCCTGGTTTCAGCTCCTGGATTTTATTGCTGCCCAAGTGCAGGATGAAGAGGTTGACAAGAGGGGAGAGGAGCCCTTTGGATAGGTCTGGGATCTTGTTCTTGTCCAGGTACAGGTAGGTGAGATCAGAGAGATCATCAAAGGCTCCTGGCTTGATGACACTGATCTGGTTGTCGGTGAGATAGAGGTAGACCAGGCTCTTGAGCCCCCGGAAGGCTCCGGTGGAGATCTCCTTGATCCGGGAGCTCTGGAGGTGCAGGGACACCAACTTCTTCATGTCACGGAAGCCGTTGGTGGGCAGGATGGGGAAGTTGTTCTTCTGCAGGTTGAGAAGCCGTGTCTGCTCCGGCACTTTGGGGATCTTCTTGAGCCCCGCGTTGTCACAGATGACGTGCTGCAGGTCCCCGCCGTGGCAGTGGCAGCTGGGGGGACATGCCTGCATGGTGGAGACCAGACATGCCAGCAGGCTGAGGACACCGAGGAGGAAGCCTGACCCATTCATGGTCAGATCTGAAATTAAGTGTGGTGGGAAGAGAAGCAGGAGGAGGAGAGTGACGGGTGAGGGAGAGAGAGAGAGAGAGTTTGCAGCATACTGAACACAGCCCTATTTATAATGTTATTAAAAAGCAAAATCCCTTCCCACAAACCACAGGCAGCAGCCAGTTGGAAACAACTGGCTTTGGGAACTTACTGTGAGCTTAACCCCTTGGCACCAGGCAGAGGAGTGTCCATGGCCCTGCTTGGCCCTGCTGCTGAGCAATGTGCAGGAGTAGTTTTCATCTCTGGAGGAAAATGGGAGGCAAATACTCAGGAAGAACCAATGCAGACCTGCTCTGTGGAGAACCTTCCTGCTGAGCAGGGCCCAGATTCATCTGCAGAGGGGGGGAAAACAGCCTGCTTTGGTTGAACAGCATAGCAGGGAGCACTGCTGAGCTCCACAGCCACCTCCTGCTGGAGCTTCCAGCAGATTCTGGGGTTCTGCTTAGCCTCAGCTGGTCTGGGGAGAAGCATCGGGTGCTGTTCTCACAGAGGAAGGTTCCTGGTGGGGGTGGGATGCCTTTTTTCACTGACTCAAGAGGAGTTTGCCTAAACAGGGATTGGAGAAGGTGGGAGTGCTATGGGATCATGCCAAAGGCCAACAGTGCAGCAGTTGCTCTTCCAATGCAAAATTTTGGTTGAACACTTCCAGATCTAGGCTGCATTGAAGAGCTGGCCAAGAAAGGGAATGCAAAGACAGTCTTAATTTCTTTTCTTTCTGTGTTCTTTTCTTATGAGCAGTTGAGGATAATATGGCCATGGTCAGGATGCCTGATGCCTTCCACCAAGGGATGGGGCAGCATCAGAGCCTGCAGGGCAGTGGTGGGACATGGGCTGGTGGGTATGAAATGCCAGGCAGTGGTGTAGAGGTGGGTGGCAGTGCCTGTGGCTCTCAAGGCAGAGCTGTGGAAAGAGAAAAGCATTGGCATTGGTAAGGAGATGGAGAAGCAGCAAAACAAAAGAATCACTGCTGGAGCTGGGAGTGGCATTTGCCTTGGCTCCTGTCTAAGGGTAGTGGTGGCAAAGGTGAATTAACATCACAAGGGATGTCTCCTGCTCTCCCAATAAAGAAGGTTAAAGCAAAGCAGTTAAAAGCCCCAGCGCCTGCTTCTGTGAGCGTGAAGAGAGATCCAGGGGTTGCAGGGTGGGGTTTGGAATTGGAACATTTTGAACTGATTTCCAGCCAGTTCCTGGCTGCAGCAAACAGCTGAGAGCTGAGCATATAACTGTGAGCTTGTTGAGATTTCTGCTCCCGAGGCTGGCTGCAGAGCCCCAGTGGAGCCTGTGCAGAGGCAAGACGGGCTCAAGGAAGGGAGGGAGTCCAAGGGCTGACTTAGGACACAGACTGGCGTATTCACTGAGATTTCTGGGTTTTTCCATTGTTGCAGTGAGAATCAGCTGGCACTGCTGAGCGCGCTCCGGACCCTGTTATGCAAACGGCCTGGCAGCCCTGCTCTGGTCAGCAGCTGTCAGTCTGAGCAGTGTTTGCACTGCAGGACTAATTTGGGGCAGAAAATAGGCTTCTGGGGTGGGAATGTGGTTCTGATGAGTCTGTGGCCAAAGGATGATGTAATATGTGGGACCGTGGTGCAAACCAGGCCATGTCAGGCTTTCAGTGTTTGTCAGCCCTGAGATGTGATGCCCTGGAGCAGCTCACCTCAGCACCAAGAGATTCTCACCTCTGGAGAGATGATCTGACCTTGAGAGCTCCTTGCTCCTGCTGGAGGGACCTTCTGTTACTGTGGGATTTAAAACTCTTTGATCCAAACAATGGTATTTTGGCTTATGCCTGGTTCAGTAGGCACCACAATGGTCATGCATGTGCTTTTCACTCTGGAAAAGCTCTTTGAGTGCCTTGGTCAGGACCTTTGAGACAGAGAAGCAAGAGATAGACAGAACCTTCTGCATTTTCCTTCTCTGCCTCTTCAGTTTGCTGTTCCATGATTCTGAGGATGCTCCTGAGTGTGCACTGCTCATGAAGCTCAGGCAGGGAGCTCAGGGAATGATTGGAAAAGAAAAAAAAATCACATTTAAAGCATCATCTTCTATCTACTAATTGATTTTATTCTTTCTCTCTGAGTAGGTTCAACCACTTTAATTTTCACTGCAATCATTTGATTAACAATTCCTGCAGTTATGTTACTCTGTGCAAGAGCAACTGGTGGGTGATATTTTAAACCCTGCCTGTTTCTGTTGGACTCTGACTCTGGGGACTGAATCTGTGCTCCTTTGCTGAGAGTCTAATACTTGGATTTCCCCTTGCAAAAAAAAGGTCATCTAACAGCTTACTGCTTCTGCAGAGATTTTGGCCAGTGTGGATCAGGTTGGAGCAAAAAGCTGATGAAGGCCTTGCAAACCCCATCCATAAATACATTGTACCCATGTATATTTCTGGAACAAGACCCTTTTCAAAGGTTAAACTGCTCAAACTTAAAACCTCTTTCTCTTTCTTCCTCTCACTTTCCTCCACCCTTTTTAAGTTTGCTGGCTGAAACTGCAGATCTGGGGGAGCAGAGACACTCTCTCCCTGCAGGGATGTGTGTGCTGTGGCTGTGGACACCAGTGAGGTGCAGCTTCCTTGTGGGAATGCTGGGACACAGCTGGTGTGAGGTGGGAGGCTGTCCCTGCTTCAGCACTTGTAGGAGTGACAGGGGGGTGTCACACACGGTTGGGATGGACAGAGACGAGATCTCTTTGAAGCCAAGTCGTACAACTTGGGGTTCATTGCACAGGGCCTGGGTGCAGGGCCCTGCTGGCAGCTGCCAGCCACAGCTCAGAGCGGGCCCAAAGAGGAAAAGAGAGAAGGCAAGAGCATGGTAAAGAGAGAATGAGAGAGTAAAAGAGAGGATCAGAGGTCAAGGTTCCTGTTACAATACAGGAATAAATAATAATAAATAATAAAGCAGAATAAATCTTCTTCTGGTTGTGGAATTTGGGGTTCATTGCAAAGGGCCTGGGGTGCAGGGCCCTGCTGGGAGCTGCCAGCCACAGCTCAGAGCAGGCTGAGAGAAGAGAGGGGGAGAGAGGGTAAGAGAGTAAAAGCATAAGAGGGTGAATGGAAAGTAGGTGAGTGAGTGAGAAAGTAAGAAGAAGTGAGTAAGAAAGGGAAGAAGAAGAAGAAGAAGTAGAAGAAGAAGAAGTAGAAGTAGAAGTGAGCGAGGTTCCCGTTACAATACAATAAATCGTCTTCTGTGTTGAATATTCTTATCCTCACTAACCAATCTAGTACAACATACAAATCCTGTAGCATTTCCATACAACCTATAAGAATCACTACATTACCATACTGTGTTACATTTTAAACCGTAAAAACTCCTCTTTAGACCCCTTCTGCCAAGCTGGCAGGGTCTGCTCTGACCTTGGGCCTGCAAGCAGAGGGTGTTGTTCCATCAAAAGGGGATTACCTTCAGCCAGCCACACCATTGTTTTCCAGTTGTTCAGTAACTGAGGGATCTCAAAGCTTGCTTTCATTTCAGTCTTGCTTATAGTTTCTATATTCTCAAAATCTTTTCCAGGCAATCATATTTATAAGGCTTTCCTGTTTCATCTTCCCCAACAAGCACTCCTGCCAGTCCTGATCCTGAAGTATGGTTTAGGTGGATTCCAGGTTATTATTGGGGGGAAAGGTGTCTGCTCCTCAGATCCGTTTCTCCAGACTCAAGTAGTGAATAAAAGGAAGTTCTTTCCCTTGGTATTTTTTGATTTCCATGCCTCGGCAAGCACATTCCTGTGGTGGGAGCTGTTTGGCATCTGCCACAGCTGGCACCTCTCCCCTGGCTCCAGGTTGTTTGTGTTTTGAGCTGCTCACTAGACAGCTCTGCTCTTCCCACACCAAGTTTTGCAGCCCTCGACTGGCCAGCAAATGTCCAGCCTGGCTCCCACCCGCGGGTGGCTGGCAGTCTGCAGTGACAATGGAGCAGTGTTGGTGTCCCTGTGCTGTGCTCAGGGCGAGCTCAGTCCTGGCCAGCTCCTGCCTCATGTCCCCTGGGACCAGCACTGCAAGGAATTGCAGAGAGGCAGGATTATCCTGCCACCTCTCTTTCTTAATTGATTAACAGTTCTGCAAACATTCCTGGTGATTTGCAGATGCTGGACTCCCCTCCTTCTTAGAGGTGTTGTGGGCTAAACGAATAAATACAGTTTTTGAAGCAGTATAAATATAGATTTGGGGTGTTTCTTTGATGTTGCAGGTCTGACCTGGTTTGATACAATACTGGAGATAGTATTTTCCACGTTTAATCCTTGTTTTTTTAAGTATGAAAGTTCTGGCATATCAAGACAGCTCCATAGTTAAAATAGTCCATTGCTCTTTTAAGCCTGATTCTGTAGCTTTTGGGGGCTCCAGATCTGGTTTCCTGTGACAGTGTAGACTTGCAATCACCTTCTTGGAGTGGCACCAGTGTAGCTGCCTTGGGGTGCAGCCCTCCTCTTTTTGGCTGAAGGTGGGGGCTCAGGCATCTTCTGGGGGTGTCCAGAAGTGTCCCAGCTCTCGTGGAGCTGAGCCCCTGGCACAGGATTGGGAGCAGGGTGGGAGAAGGTGCAAGTTCAGCAGTGTCCCATGGATTTGTCCCAAGGGCAGAGTACACTTCAGACAGTGTTTGAGGAGCTGTGGTGGATGGGCAAAGGGAAGTCCCAGAGGTTTTCTTGAGTTCCCGTCTCTTCCAGGCGGCTCCTGTCCCAGCAGTAGCATCCAGGGCTCTGAGTTCAGACCTGAATTGCCATTTTAATTTTTAATTCTTGAAGAGTCCCATCACTGCAGTGTGGAGGCTGCTTGTTGAGCTGGAGGAGGTGATGGTGGGTCTACCTCCTTCCTTCTGATGGTTTTCTTCCACTGCAGCATGGCCTCCACCCATTGATGTGTTGCCAGTTTGGCTCCCCATTGATGTCCACCCACCCTTCCCTTCTGCCGATTCCAGCAGCTGCTGGATCAGGCTCTTGGCCTCTCCTGTGAAGCTCACCCAGCCCTTACAGCCTCTCCCAGCCCTGCAAGGCACCAGATGTTCCCTAGCATCCCACTGCTCTAGCCAGGACTCTTGTCCTGCTTTGCAGAGCCTTCTTCCCTTGTGGAGCACCACTGATCCATGCAAGACTTCTGACTTTCCCAAATGTTCCCCAGCCATCAGTCCCCTCTGTTCTCAAAATGGAAAATGGGCTTCATGTGGTGACAACATTTCTGCTTGTCCTCGGCCTCCCCATCCCACCCCACCTTGTTTTGGGGAGATCTGATGAGTAGGTGGTTTCTGTAGCTGTGGAAATGGGCTGTGAGAACATTTAAAAGGCCTCATGGAAATAACAAGACTCCAGACTTCCAGCCATGTGTTTGGTTGGAGCTGAGCTCTCCAAATCCATAGGGATGTTATCTTTACCCCTAGATTTTTGCTGAGTTTCCTTGTCCAATAGCATCCTGATACCTCCAAATCAGTGGGTTTCTACCTTCATGTGACCTTTGTACATTTTCTCTCACTTTTTCACTTTTCTCAAATGCGTCAGCACTAGGGAGGATGGAGTTAATTGCACAGCAAAGACCTTTTATCACACTGTGGGTAAACCAGTGACTGCCCACGTCTTTGCTGGTTGCCACTGGGCAGCACTTCTGCCCTGCTGGCAGGAAGGGGGAAACACTTCCAAGCCTCAAGGCTTCTGCTTGGCCTGGAGAGAAGAGAAGCAGCTTTAGCTCAAGATCAGAGGAGCAGCTTGTCCTCCCTGGGCAAGAACAGGAGATTCATTCCCAGTCAGGCACACTGGGTTGTCCTTTTGGTCTCCTCCTGAGGCAAAGCCATTGCGTGCCACAGCACAAAGGTGCTTTGGGCACCTAATACCTCTGGGATCTCTTTAAAGCCCCATCCAAACTGGGACTGTCTGGCAGCTCTCTTGGTGGAGAGATGTCAACAGGGTGGCCACCCTTAGAGATTTGTCCTGCAAGACTTGTTTGTTTGTGCCCTGATGTTTTTGACACAAAGATGGTACTGTTTCTGGGGAAGGAAATGAGATCTCAGTGTGGCACAGGCTGGATGTGATCAGAAGTTGTTTTTTTTGCAGCAGCAAAGTTGACCTGAAGGTTCAGGAATATTCCAATACAACTGGAGATAGTGGGATATCTCCAAAGCAAGGAGATGCATGTTCCCAGGGGACAGAAAAGTTTAGTGTGATCTTGGCAGTGAGCAGCTGAGGGAGGGAAGGTTCTTGCTCAGTTATGAACGATTTTGAGCTTGCTGTGATGGGAAGGGATGGGGTTGACTCAGGGAGAGATATCTAAGACAGGCGCCCTCGGCACAGGTTTAGGGATAATTAGATCCATCCAGCATGTTACACTGAGAGGGGTTCAAAGGGCCTCTTAGAGGTCCCTGAACACATCTCTTGGGCTGCCAGTCTGCTTTCTCTTGTTCATGATGCCCTCTTTGAAGTCTGAAAATCCCTATTATTTCACAGTCAATTTGCTGCTTTTTTTCTGAGGCCAATATTGTCTCCAGCAAAGCTCAGTTTCTGTAGGCTTTAGTTTGGCAGTTCAAGCCCTGCCATCATCATCCTCCAGCGTGGCACTCATGGAGGGTGGTGACGAGGAGGATGAAGATCCTCCCTGAGCAGTGCAGGTCCAGAGTGTCCTCCAAGGAACTCATGCCTTTCTGCAGCCCTGACCTTCTGCTCCAGTCCCACCCAGTATAACCCACTTGGGGTGCTGGTGGTTAAACCCCAGCCTTTTCATTACAGCCTTTCAGCAGCAGTTAAATGTGGAGGACACTGGGTGTTTTTATTGCTGTTGAATGCCAGGGAAAACCAAGGAGCAGAGGGCTGATGTGGCTTCTTCCAAGTTATGCAGTAAATAAGCAGCACAGTTGGGAAAAACCCAGGGTCTTCAGAGTCCCCACAGTCCCCACCAGGTCAACTTGCCTCCCATATGTTTACTAAAGAGACTGAAGTCTGATTGTTCTTACTTTATTTTTAATTTTTAGACGCTTCCCTCTTCAGGCTGTTTTGCCTGTTCCACAGTGACCAGTATTTGAACAGCACTGGCAGGAAATGTTTGGGAAATGTGCTTTAAAAAACACAGTTCTGCTAAGATGTTCCTTTTATTCCTGGTTTATACAGAGGCTTGGGATTCACAAAGAATGAATCTCTTGTTGGTAGGAGCAAGTTAGGCAGCAGTTTGTTTTGGACCTGTCTTTGTCATCACTGAGGGCAGGATTGATCTGGGTGTTGGGGTGTCACTTGTAGTCCTACAGTAAAAAAAGGCTTTGAGGTCAATTATATTTTGTATTCTTGTAGCTCCTCTTGAAGCCAAGGGTCCAAGCTGGAATCTTTGCCTCAGAAAGCTCTGCTTTGACACCACATACAGTGGAAATTATGGAGCTGATGCTGAAATTATTGGGTGAGGTTTGCTGGACTGAATTACACCAGATGACAAGGCTGAATGATGTTAAGTGTCCCTTTGGGTCATGAGGGCTAGGAATCTTCATGGATATCTCCAAGTTTAAAGTGGTGTGTGGAGTTTCGTGGAAGTGTTGCTTCATCTGCTCCTGACAATGGACATGTTGGATGGTCCACGTGTCAGATGAGGGCTGGGAGGACAGCTGTGCTGGCACGAGAGTTTGCTCCATCCCCTGCCTCCATCCCAGGAATACAGCTGTGGATAACCATCCTAAGAGGGAAATAACATCTTGGAAATAACATCTTGGAAATAACATCTTGGAAATAACATCTGGAGCAACGTCGTGGTATCTGG